ACCCCTGCTGCTGCTACTTACTACTACTTACTACCCGCACCACTAGTCACTAGCAAGGGCCTCTACAGACTAACTGCAGATTCGGAATTCAACGCGTTCAAAAATTTTGCGAGGGTAGCACTGGGTTAGGAAGAAGGGCAAAGGTTCAAGGGCCTCCCCAAAGCCCAGCAGACTGGTTTTCTGGTGCCAGGTCAAGCGTCTCACTTTTGGTCGCTTTCTTTCTGGTGCCGAGCTTCTGTCGCACTTTTGGTCGCTTCTTATTTTTTCTGGTGCAGAGTTTCTGACACAGCTACAGTAGCAGTAGCGGCTATATTGTCTGGGAGGACATCCTTCGTGGAACAGGTGCCAGGTGCCAAGGAAGTACAAGACGGGAAGTACAAGGTGCGACACCCATTGCTTTAATCCTTAGAATCAAATCAGCTCTGCGCTCCGTGCTTTCTCACAGCGGCACGCTGTTTGTTGCAAAGGTATTACTCGTGCTTGTTACAAACATGCCGCGTTGTTCAATTTTTGCTTGCAAATTTGTTTGTTTTTTGTTGCTTTTATGCGTGTTTTTGTTTTTTTGGCTGCATTGTTTTGCTTTTTTGTTACAAGTTCCTCTTGTTCAAGATGAACAACGACTTCTAGAGTAGATTGAATAACGGGGTTTGGCAAACACAAGTCTAAAGTTCAAACAATCAGAAACTTCTTCACACTTGTAATGTCAAAGAAAGGCGAAACTGAAAGTGTGCTCACTTCTTGCGGCTGAAGAATGAAATTAGGAAGGTGTGCATCAGTTTTAGCTTCGGAATGACACCGAGCCACACCAAGTCACAAAAAAAGCAATAGCACATCTGGAAAATTGTCTCCTTGCAAAGAAATTTAAAGGCCCCCCAAAAAGCCTTGCTGGTGCCTTGTAACCATTTTGGGCATTGGAGGCGGCATCGGTTCATCAACCAAAGGCGCCACCGCTCGCGATGCCAAATCTTTCTCCTTCGTCCAAACGACGATCGGCGCCGATGGGCGCTTTCCCGTCTGATCCAACGAGGCCCGTCACGAAACCCAACTGCTTCGACAAGCAGCAACGAGGCCTGGCCTCACGAGCCCCGAGTGGAAAAGAGCATTGACGCTTTGCATGGCAGTGCTGTACAAAACTGATCCTTCAAGACTTCACATGCAGGAACCACGTCTCTGAGTTGATCTTCGCTTGTGCAGATTTGCCCTGCATCCAATGCTAGTATGCAGTCTCTGGGGCTCCGATTCCTCTACAACTTGCTCCAGGGTCTAGTGCAGCCATGCTTCAATGCGCTTTCGTTCCAAGGGCTTGATGTCCAACTTATCTACCACATCCTTCCAGCTTCCCCAGACTTCTTCCATCGTGGAAGCACCATTCTCCTCCCCGCCGTGCAAGTGCAAGGCTCTGCCATTAATCACTGTGGTATGCCCGGCGCCTTTTTGATCCTGTTTGCCCCCAATAAGCATTCGCAATCCATCCCTTAACCTCTCCCAACATGACACTCATGCCCTATCTTTTCTTGACCTCCTTCAAGCTGCCACAAAGCCGTTTTGCTACTGATTGAATTGCATCACCAGCCTCGCACCACTCCAGCAATGCCGCTGTGTAGTGACCAAGGCTTAAGGATTGAAGCCAATCCTTGGATAAAAACGTATAGTTGCACATATCAAACACAATATTGATGTATATACATATATTTGATGTAAATCTAACTACATATAATAAAATCTTCATGTTTGTTTATTCTTGCAAGAAGCACTCTGACAGCACTTGCCCATGTTCGCCTCATCCCCAACTGTTGAGGTGGAAGCTGCAACAAGTGTGCTAGGTTGCGAGGCAATAGGAACCGGGTACACATACAGCCATGAAGACACAAGCCAGCCAACATCAAGATGATGTTTTTTGCGCAATGGTGAGACGCTCTTTAATGCTCTTTTTTGATCACAAAGATTTTCAGACCCAAGAGGCTGAGACTTCTTGTGAGAGCCGGTGATTGAAACGCAGAGTCGTGCGCCAAGTGCTTTCCACGTCCTTCCTTGGACAGACTTGAGGTTTCTGGTGTGACTTGGACAAACGTCCCCCTTCCAATGTGGTCCGATCCACTTTCATGGAAACATATTGAAACATAGATACTCTAAAACCAGCCACAGCAGCTCCACACGCTTTCGCTCTAAAGGCTTCAGACCCAAATCCACCACGAAGACTTCCCAATTCCTCAGCGACTCGGGCAGAGGTTGTGATCAAATCATCCCTAAGTGAAGCTTTCGATCCTTAAAAACAGGAGGACACCTGACAATGTGGTAGGAAAACCCGGCAACTAGGGCAAACACCCTGCACATTGAAAGGCATTGACAATTGACAGGGTACACCGGAAAGGTGCAGTTGAGCTTCTCAATGACTTCTGCCAGGCTGATGGCGCCTCAGTCCACAGCTGGTGAGCGCACGTGTCAATGGAGTATGGCCCAGATGGCCTAAGCCAAGTTGCCATTGGCCACCCACCAATCGCAGGCCTCAGATCCAGAGCCTAAAGCTGCGCTCCGTATGATCCAAGCTGCGCTGTGAGAGGTTGAAGCAAGATGAAGCAAGTAGCGGCATTGTGATACTTGGAGAGGTTCAGCTTCACCAGCCAATCCTCAGTTAAATGGAACACAGTGGAACATAATGGAACCAAGAAGAATCAGCCACATCTTGGTGAAACCTTCCCCTAGAGTGGGGGGAATTTTATTACGTATGTTGCAATATGTTTCCTTAAGAAGGCCTCAATCACTTCACCAAGCACCTCCAATTTCTTCGCCAAGGCGCGATAAATTCGGTAGATGGGGCATTCTCAGAACTCATTCTGCAATACTCTGACTCTCATGGGAGAAGTGCTGGATCACAGAAAAAATGCCTTCTGGACCTTCTGGGCGCTACATTCTACATCTTCTTGCTTGAGGGTGACACTGGCCGCGCAAAGGCATGCAAAAGAATCACCTAAAACACGCTAAGCCATGCAATGTCACTCAACTAACACAAGGCTGCCAAAGGACATCCAGCCACAAAACCCAGCAGCACTTTTCCACACTCCCTCCCTCTGTTCACCTTGGTCTTCAGATTTCATGTCAAGCCGACCAATCGCTCAGGTCCTCTTCCGCTTCCCCGTCGTGTCCAGATCGGTCCGAGGCATCGCTGGAGGAGCTCTCGTCATCCACGAATCTTAACTCCACTTGTCCAAGGTGTTGCTGGACCTCTCCTTTTTGGACTCTTTCCGTGCCTGGGCTCCACGGTTGCTTGACCGTGCATGAAGAGCCTGAAGCGGGCTGAGTGCATCTCAGGGACGTCTGCTTTGAGAAGGGCCCGTTGACAACTCCTTAGATGTTCCACAACAAGCTTGCAACAACCCAAAGCCGGCAACATCTCACTGCGACCCACATGACCAATGATTGGGTAAAGGAACACCCCTACCCAGCGATGCAATCATGTGCAAAGTACTTGATCAGAGGGAAGAGCCATGCTGCATCATGCTGCTTGGAATTCTGCCTTTCATGATCAGTGTGCAAAGTAGCACCGGAACATACCGGAACCGCTGTCGTCACAGCACCGGCACCGTCGGCACCCAACACGTTTTTTTTTTGCGGGTGGGGGCTGGTGGAGCATTTTGAGTTGGAAGTTGAGACGGTCTCACCCACTGGCCATGAACTGCCTCTACGATACCGGCCACAAGCCCTTGCAAGATACACACAGCCGACGGCTTTCGGGCCTTTCGGGTGACGTCCGTGTAGTTGGACATCGTTTGAGAATGAAAAATGGCAGGGAGCTCGCTAAGACACCAAATAAACATACTATCATACTGGATCCTACTGGTCACGTTTCATCATTTCTACCTCTGTTGCTTCCAAGAGTCTCCAATTTCTTCTCAATCTCTGCGTTTGAGGGATCGAGTTCAAGGGCATGGCTGAAATCCTGCTTTGCGCCTTCCAAATTCTTGAGCCTTGAAGGACGTGGAAGGATCAAGTCGCGGGGGACTGCCCATGTCCGACTGCCCATGTCCGACTGCCCATGTTCTCTCAAACAGTGTACCATTCGAATCCCAGCCTGTGTGCGTGACGATGCTTTCTCGACAAAACTGCCCTGCTATTGTAGTAGTGTTCGCATGTTAGAGCGACACGACCACTTCTTGCAAGCAAATTGCTGGAGGTGTGCCTGCCCTCGCCTGAGAATAGCGGCACAGCAACAGAAGAAACACCGCAAAGCCAACCAGGAGCAGAACATGAGATGGGTTCAAGGTTGGAGGCGTTCCAGTGAACCGTGGAACCGGATTGGTACCGGGGTGCAAATAGAGCGCTTTCACCATTCCTGCATCTTCGGCCAGCAATTCAGAGCAAGTGGAGATAACATCGTGCCTCAAACAAGCTGCTTCTCATTGTCAACTCATCATTCCTCAAAAAGAGCTGACCAATGGCCTTGCGACCAGGCCACCAACGCGAGAGTCTCAAGAAGCAGATTGCAGCATTGAGCCTGAAGTGCTTGGCAGGAGTGAAAGAATCTCACGTCATCTCACGTCCGCTGTTTTTCTCTGTTTCCCACGTCCGCCACCTGCAGGTCCTTCGAAGGGTCACAGCATCACAGCTTTCAGTGCTTGGACCTGCACCGAGACGTTTCTCGATCGCCCTCCAGGCTCAGGAGCGTGCCATGCGATGGGCCAATGTGATGCTCAAAGCCTTTCAACCTGGTTGATAACCACATGGCTGCAACAGCCAGGCCCAGAAAAGCACGACTACATCAAGAAGAATGGCCGCATCAGGGTAACCTGACTGGAGAGGACCATGTGAACGCACCCATCGCACTCCGTTCAGTAAGTACTCAATGTCTAATGTCAACATATGCCGGACTTGCGTCTGCACAAAACGCATTCGAACATCCTGGTCAACCTTCAGAATTGTCTTCAATGGCGTTGGTTGGGCAGCAGGTGGCCGGCATCAAAGGGCACCATCCGGCAAAGATGCCCTACAAAGTTGCTTCAAGCTCAGAGCTGCCCGCAAAAATGCACACCAAACACAGCACCGTGGGCATGTCTGACTTTGTGAGAAACATTGTGTCTCTGGACCAAATTTATATAGCTGGCCCAGGAAAACACCAACCTCAAGGGGGCATGTATTACATAATTATTAGGATTAACACCGAAACACCACATAGAACCATCCAAAAAAGCTAGAGAGACGACTAGTGAGTGCTCAGCTGTCCCATGCGTCCGGCCTAGCATGTCCAGCTCCTTGCTGAGGACCAAATACCTTAAAGTTAGAGTGTTTCTCTATCATGCCTTTCTGTGGGTACAATTGTTTGGTTTGCTGCCTTTTCAGCACTGAGCTGACACAATACTGACTCAACAAACAAGGGACACTGACACACGCAAAATAAGAAACTGACACAGCAAAAGCCGTGAACTGACACACTGAAAACAACGAACTGACACAATAACCCTGGTGAACTGACACTTTGACATTGACACAAAATCGGTGTCTGCTCAACTGGTACAACGAGATTTAACTGAACACCGTAAGTGACGCTCTGGCGTGACTCTTTTTTCACTTGGAAGCATTGGATCTGGCGAAAAGGTTCTTCAAGCAGGCTTCTGCAGAAACCCTTGGAAAGCTTGTGGCAACTCACCGCCACACATCTTCTGCAAATGTGGGACAACGCTGTCAGAGCAACGCAACTTCTTGGTAGCCAAACCAGTCGAGCACTTATTGCCAGCAGCTGCCATTTTGTCCTTGTCATCATAGTTGCGACCAATGGTGGAGAGAACCTGGGCACCAGCGTACAGTTAGTACGGAGTACCGTATAAGATCGTATAAGTCTAAGTCTAAGTCTCTAAGTACAGTGACCATCATGAATGACTAGTGACTAGTGGGTAGACACTTGACTCTAGTCAAGAATCTAGATTCCTAGATGTCAAGTTGCGATCAGATCAGCCAGCACGAGTTTCACCACCAAGATGTCTCCTTTTTGCGAGATGTCCCTGGCATCCTTGACGGCGGTTCCTGCTGAGACAATAAACTCGGACTCGTCAATAAAGAGGGCATGCTTCAAGAAGATCTGCTCAACGATGTCAAGGATCCCATTCTTGTGTGCCAAAGAGCCGAGGAATTTGCTGGCAGCGACATAGAAGTAGTCGCTGGCGGGGAGAGCAGGGACTGTGAGGTAGCGATTAGGATCTCCCCTCAAACGCTCACAAGGTGTTGAGGTTGCTTTTGGTGGCTGGAGCTTTGGCATCGGCAAACACCGCGGCCTTTGCATTGGTGAGCATCTCTGCCAAAAGATTGGGGAATTCCTTGCCTGCCATCGAGGTTGCCAGTGAAATGATGTCGTTCGCTGACTTGTTGACCTCAGTGATCAGATCTTCATTGATGACACTGAGGATGTGGTTTTGTAGTTTCTTGGCCCCTTCTGTCAGATATGCCAATGTACGATCAACTCCTGCCTTGTCTGTGTCATTGAGCTTGGTCTCAACAAACACCTTCTTGGGCGCAACGATGTGGTCAAACAAATTGCGCATTGAATCAAAGTGGTTGTTGATAGCAACAATCTTGCCGCTCGAAATCTTTTGCAAGGCTTGTGCACTTGATTTCTCCTTGCACGCAGCCGTAAGCACATCAGAGAAGCTCGAGGCATCTGAGATGATCCGATGCTCGCATGTGTGGAGAATACTGCTCACCACTGGAAGGATTTCGGCAACCAAGCAAGTGAAGGTAGCATTGACATCCCCACTCGGAAAGGCAATCTTCAAAGCTGGAGACACTGCCAAGTACGTTTGGGCAAAAGTCTGAGGGGTCATTCCGGATGGAAACTCAGGCATGCTACTGGACTCAGGAATGGCATTCCGCCCAAGAAACTCAGCAACCGCAATATCGGGCAGGCAAACCATGCCAGTGAAGAGATTGTGAAATGGACCCAAAGCATTCTTCAAAGCACAGCAGGCAACCTCTGCAATCCAGAAATGAAACCTGTGGCATGAAAACTTGCCCAATGCAGGTCCAAGCTCTTGAATGCGCTTCTCAAAGGCGCTGAGAGTCAAAGGGGAAGCTTCCTTGCCATTGGCATGCCCAAGCCTGCCTGTCAACTGGAACAGCTGAACAAAAGCCGGCTTGCTAAAGTCCTGGAGTTTCACTTGGTCCTTGAACTTTGCCCATGATGTCCTCAGTCAGACTGTGAGATGATAAAGGTTCAGTTTTAGGTATAGTATAGTACAGCGTCTTAAAGTTAAATGTATAGTATAGTATAGTATAGTTAGCAAAGGAAAAGGTGCAAAACATTTGGGAACCGTCCAAAAAAGCATTTGTTCTAGAGCCGCAGATGAGTCTCATCAAATCAAAAGATTCAGACGACTTGGTGAGCAAGCCAATAAGGTCGTCCAGAAAGGAACTGAACATTTGACCAGCACAAGCTCCAAGAACACTCATTGGGTCGAAATTCATCCAACGCTTCAGGTTGAGGGACGCCAATTTCTGAAGAACCTCCTGCGCTGGCAAAGTAGTCACAGTAGTAGTCCCATCATCTGAATCCCCATGACAGAGAACAGCTGAAAGCGCAAGGTCTGCTTGAGGCACATGCTTGCAAAACAACTGCGCCACTGCAGACATCAAGGACTCAGCAAGTAGATTCTGCTTCTCACGGATTTTCTCCACTTTCTCCTTGGTGGTTGCCAGTTCTTGGAACGAAGGTGCTCCGGAGTTCAAGGCAATGTTCAACTTGGCAGCCACATTGCTCCACTCCTCCTGGTGCTCGAGCGTGATGTGATTGCCACTTCCACAAAGCTGGCTTGGCGTTGGGACCACCAATGCTTCTGATGCGGACAGCCTGAAAAGCAGAAATCAGACAGAACTCTTCTACTAGCTGGCCAAAAGTCATTTGCCGAATCGCAGCAGCACATGTCAATGATGAATGATGACAACGATAAAGTAAAGTTAAGTAAAATTATCAAACAATTGGCCAAGAAACGCATTTTCCAAAGAATTCAGCAAGGCTTTGTGGGCGTGGTAACGTGCAAGGCATTCTTGCAATTCATCCATGATCCACACTCCAAGTGGGAGCGCGCAAAAGGCCTTTTGGAAATTGGAGTTTTTTGCACTCAGCATTGCGCGAGCCTCTTCACACTCAGACACTTCAACAGAGTTCATCTGGTTTTGACTGTGCAAGGCTTTGCACAAGGTTTGGACATGGAGGAACTCGGATCTTAGTACTTCCAATGATGAATCTTTGGAGAGTGTATCATTCTTGCAGAATTCTCCCACAAGGTTTTCGAGGGAGGCACACCTCTCCAAAGCTGCAGTGCGCCTGTTTTCAGTGGCCTTGACCTCGTCGCTCTCAGCGCCACCCACCAAAGACTGTCGCATGACAGACTCTACTGCATGAACACAGCCTCGAAGACGGATTTCGGTCTGTGATTGTTGCTCCAACCCAGCCAAGTGGCTTGCTAGCTTCGCTACAAGGGCCTCCCAATTCTGTGACTCAGCTAAAGAAGAGACATGCCTCACTGCAAGCAAAACATCCACTGATTTTGTCACGAGCACATCTGCATTGCGTGCCTTTTCCAAGGCATTTTTAAGGTAGGAGTGATGGAATGCTTCCCCGCTGGTGGAGGATAGTGACTGCACCAAAGAGATACAATCAATGAGCTTTGCCTTCATTGACCGGAGCTGGCTTACCACGTGAAGACCCTTTTGCTGCAATGCTGAGTCCCCCTCACTCACACAAATTTGAAGGACATCAGAAGTCAGCCGACCATTGATCTTCATCACAATGCTCGAGATTTTGCCTTCCTGACGTGTCACAGGGGCAAAGTTTGGCAAACACATTGAACATTGACATCAGTCAGACACAAAAACATATCTAGAATCTAGACCTGGGGGTAACACAAACACGGCTTAATCAATCAGTGAATCAATCATAGTCATAATCATAATCACACACCGGGCATCCGTCACCTTGAAGATTCCTGGGTCATCATCAAAAAACTCGAGGAGCTGGGCAGCCTCGTTCATAACCGCTTCGGACTTGGTGATGGCACTTGTTGCTTGCTTGTTCTGTTTCTGCGCATTGCCACTAGGCTGAGTCGAAGTGCCACCAAAGCTGTCAAAAACTGATATCTTGGGGGTCGAAGGCTGGCTGACGCGTGGCCTTTTGTCCTTGGCGTTGGGGTCCTTGCCATCCGGGTCTTCATCCTGATGGTGAGTAGTTTGAGGGGGATCTGGATATGCCGCTCCTCCAGATTCTGATGCTTCACCCTCCTCAAAATCCTCAAGGAAAACCACAAATGTTGCGACAACGACACCTCATTGTCATAGGTCATAGGTCATAGGTTGTTGCAAGTTACAACGAATCCAACTGGAATGTATAGCAGCATTAAACCTGGACGATGGGCAGTAAACAAACGGACAACTCAGTATACAAAGCAGTCCTGATCATCCAGCATTTTCCTACGTTTTGTTGGCTTCAGGAAAAGGTCCCTGTTGCCCCACAGATCGTCGAGCTCATCCTGAAGATCATCCCCCAAAGAAAGCTTTGAACTGGAGGAAGCCAGAGTTACCTCACCACCCTCCTTCACATGGACTCCTGAATCAAGAGTGCAGTAAGTCAAGTCTGGTCTAGAGTCTAGAGTCTAGAGTGTAGAGTCAAGTCACGACCTTTAACAGCCAACATACACTATAATATAATATACAATAATTTAATTAATATATATGTCAAACAATATTATATATTGACTCGATCATGAATCATTGTGCAAGTCTTAGTCTAAGTGTAAGAGTGTAATCCAACATCTGGAATGAAACAAAGGCGACAAAGGTGCTGAAGCTTAGAGAAAAACAGTCCTCCTGCTGATGCTCTTTGCTGCAAAGCTTGCCAAGTGTTTTGAACCTCTCCGTCGTCTATAGCCGACGAACCATCCATGATGTCTCCTGCCTGCCAGGTTGAGGCTTGGTCAGGTTAAGACTCCAAACTCAAGACATCATTGTACATTGTAGATTTAAGCCCAGCTTGAGATTGAAAGAGCAAAATGGAACCCAAATGAAACTTGCAGGAACCAAACCAACCCGGCCTTTGTGACGTATTTGGTATCTTCGGAGTATATGCACACTGACCCCACTGGTCTGCCATGCGATTCGTCTAAGACCACTCCACGGATTTTACGCCCATTCACCATCATGGTTGTGACTGACAACTCTTTTGGGATAGTCTTCACGTTCTTGACTCGTTTGTAAACGTCACAGGGCCAAAGCACGCCCTTGAACTC